CTCTCAGTTACCAAGAGATTGAGTGCAAGGAATGAGCCGATGTGGAGACACGGAGGGTGGCAACCCAGCCCACCCAAACACGGGACCCTCCAGGGCCGTGCCCGTGCCAGCGCCGCTCCGGAGGAAGGGGATCTGGGGCTGTGGCTGGGTGGAAGCAGAGTGCATGTCTGCCTGCAGGGCTGTGACAATACTGGTATGCTGTGGCGGTGCAGCACAGGCATGCCACGGCAGGCACAGCTGCAGACACCTCTCACTGCAGCTCCAGCCTTCAGGAGTGATACAAAGGTCATCAAAGGGCCTTTCATGATGTCAAAATGATTCCAGTTTCCTTTAATACAGCACCCTAAGCTAAAATACGTAAAGGCACTGCATTGTTAGTGCTCTAAACGGTCATTATTTAACCACATTTCTTGGAGAAATACTTTAAACAAGGCACGACGTAACAAACATCACTGCTGCCACTTGGCATCTCTGCGTAAAGGCTTCTGAAGGGCCCGTTTCTCCCAGGGCCTGGGGGTGGCCAAGGCACGGGGCGGAGGCAGCGGAGCTGCCCTGGGTGCACGCGGGCAGGTGGGGCCCCGCTGCGCTTACCTCGGTGCCGTAGGGCAGGCGGGATATCACCTCCGGTGCCATCCAGTACGGTGTCCCAACCAGCGACTTCCTCCTGGGAACCTCCTTGGACACTTGGGCGCAGAACCCGAAGTCAGACAATTTTATCTGAAAAGCAAGGAAAAAGCCCCTCTTGAATAACAAGGCAAATTCCTCTGAGACACTTCTGAGACTCCAGCTGCTGCTGTGGGGGCACTGGGACGGAGCTGCAGTGTTTTCCTGGGACAGGAGAGCAGCGCAATTTCGGAAGCGTGGCCAGAGACGGCGATACAGTCTGGGGAACACGTGGCTAATTACAATGAAGGCAAAGGAAAGAAGTAGGAGAGAGTGGCAGTGGTGCTCGTTACGGAGATTGCCTCTTGTAGCTCGTTGGCTTTCCACCAGCAAAAGATGCAGGGGTGATAAGTGGCTTATAATTTAATTTTAAAAAAATGGAAGGGAAGCAAAGAATTCTGAAGTAACAGTATTTTATAATGGATCTATTATTGCGTTTATACAAACCCCACGTTTGTAGCCTACTGATATTCTGTAACAGACGTACTGCAAGTGATACACATCACTCCTATTAGCTGTATCAGGTACACGATCTGTGAGTTTGCCAGAAAACAGATGAAATAAGTGTCATTCACCTCGTTTTCTGTTACCGCAGGGAGCATGATCTAACACTCACTGAAGGCCATACTCCCTGCCAATAAGTTTTCGAGACCAGGACTGCACACGGCGAACTATCACTGAAGAAACTGTCTCCTTCACACAGCAGAGGAGCTAACCTAGGGAAGGCAGGGAAGACTCTTCCAAAACGGTTCCAAGAGATCACAGAATCACTGAATGGTTTGAGTTGGACGGGACCTTAAAGACCATCCAGTTCCAACCCCCCTGCCATGGGCAGGGACACCTTCCACTAGACCAGGGTGCTCCAAGCCTCATCCAGCCTGGCCTTGGACACTTCCAGGGATGGGGCATCCACAGCTTCTCTGGGCAACCTGTTCCAGTACCTCACCACTCTCTCCGGGAAGAACTTCTTCCTGATATCCAATCTAAACCTCCCCACTTTCAATTTAACCCCGTTACCCCTTGTCCTGTCACTACAGGCCCTTGTAAAAAGTCTCCCCCAGCTTCCTTGTAGCCCCTTCAGCTACAGGACACCTGCCCCCTTTGCTCGGGAACTTGGGAATTAAAGCTGGTACTGTCCTTGAGTAGCTGTGGCAGTGACCTGAAATAGAAATAACGGGATCCACAGGCACACTGGAGAGCAGCTCTGGCTGCGTCACGTGCCTGCTCATACTTTTATGCCCGATTTTTTGTTTGTTTGTTTTTGGTTTTTTGGTTTTTTTTTAACAACCAAAATTGAGGAAAATTATTTCCTCCCCCTCACCATTGCTGTACAACGCCAAGGTGAAAACTCCTCCAACCCCGATCAAAACAATCCAGTCTAAATGTCAGTGGCATTACCCTCTTCCAGAGACAGCCTGGTCCTAACAGCTAAAGTGGTGGGGTGTTTTTTTTCCCCAGGTATTTATTTGGAGGCCTGGAAGCTATCCCTAAGGGTTTTCCGGGACAGCAGGCTAACCCCCATCACCCCAGGCTACACACCACGCAGTGCAACTGTGACCTATGGCTGGATACACGGTCCCTAAGCCCCGTATCCGATCACATCCTCAGCGCCTGGGGATATGAAGTGAGCTCAAACAGCCTCAGGACAACCAAGGTGGGAAGTTGCATAAACCCCTGCGTTGTGTAGAGCAGCATTTTATTATTAGCACTGACTTGTTTTCTTCTGGATTCGGTACAGACATTACTTTTTTTAAAACTAAGGGTATTATTTTTAACAGAATTACGAAATGATTGTTGGTATTTCTCAAGGAAAGCCAATAATAGCCAAGTTCTCCGTGCTAAATGTAAACATCAGTTCGCAGGATGAAGAATGGAAGAAATAATACGTATTTTGGAAGCAGAGCCCAATCTTCTTTTGTAGGAGCACGAGAGGTTTTGCATATCTATTGCTCATTCGAGTACATAAAAGAAGAGGATTTTCTAAAAAAAGATAATTGCACAACACAGCCATGAAGAAATCTGCAATGCAGATAATAAGTCCTGGAGTAATGAGTAATAATGAGGCACTGTATGCAGATCCTGAGAGCAGATCAGATGCTACTTCAGCAACATGGATGGAAATCGCAGCTGAAAACCACCCACACACATGGAATTTTCTTCCCCTGACAGGATTAACAGGAGCAGCCTGTGGCCGCTGCGTGAGGAAAATCCCTCTCCCTTGGTGAAGTGGGAATCACTCTAAAGGCGGGCCTTTGATTAGGGAATCAGGGCAGCCCTGGGAAGCCGAGAGTTTTGCCTTCTGAAGGAGAAGACCTAGGTTTGGTTCCAGGTCGAGCAGGTGCTGCTGGGCTGAGCCCAACCCTCTAAGCCCTGCTTTAGACAGCTCTGTTATTCACATCTTGCACCCCTGGTTTCACAGCCCTGGCTGATTCGGTTTTTTAAGTCAGAATCACTTAAGTTAGAGCACGGCTCTTTTCATGCCAGCCCCAGGAGAGGGCAGGGGAAACGGCGGGCGCTCACCCTCCCATCGCTTGTGAGAAGGATGGAGTCGCTTTTGATGTCGCGGTGGATGACGCCTTGGTTGTGCAGGTAGGACAGGGCTCGCAGGACGGACAGGCAGACGGTCGCTATCTGCTCCTCGTTCATCCTGAAACGGCAAGGTGGAGAAGAGAGCTGTTAACGGAGACAGCGGGAAAGGGGGGCTGGAGTGAAGAGGCACAAGTCTCCTTTCACACCAGCGTTCAGACAGTCAGGACATTTAGGCTACGGCTCTGTGGGGCCACTCTCTGGCCCTATTTCTGTCAAAAAATGAGAAATGAGAGGTAAGGAACACCTCTGCAATGAGGTCTGGGTAAGGCTTCCAGCAGCACTAACAAAGCAGAGTGTATGATGTGATGTGGCCTGTTGCAGTACGCCTGTTTCCCTCTGGGAAATAACAGAAATGCCTTATTTACAGTAAACTTTCTGCTTGCCAAGGAGGGTAAATCACCACTGGGATGGAAACAGGCATGGAATAAATATGAGAAAAGCCACTCTTAAGCGCACAGACAAAACGTCAGGGCCTGGGTATAACTCCTCAAGAGCGCTTCTCTGATCTATAAAAATGATCAGGGTATTTCAGTAGAAAAATAAGCAGCAAGAGCTCTCCCTTCTGTGCAGGTAGGTGTGAAATCCCCGTTCCGGAAGAAGCCGTTCTGCCACCGCGCGACGGTGACGGCCGGGATGGGTGGCATCCTCGCTGCCCCACCGCTGGATGACCCCAGCATCTCTTACTAGGCCAGCAGAAAAATGCCCGTGGAGATTTCTGCTTGAGCTTTGTGTGCCATTTGCAGTATTTTAGCAAAATCTTGGAGGGAAGGTCATGCAATGTAAAAAAACCCCAAAAAACCCAGAAGATTGAGGAAAGACTATTTTGAGTTAAAAGAAATAGATGACAGCTCTTAAGAAGTGGTGTCCCAGGAACATCTGTTTGCCATCAAACTCCCACCAGAAATATCTAAGATAGAGCTTTTAACGTTTTGGGGAGCAGTAGTTAACAAAGGACTTGCAATATTGTGATTTATTTCAGCACATCAGCGATGGCAACACTAAAAAATAAAATACCTGTGTTACAACTCTGCTTTTGGTAGGGTCTAAGCCCCTCATTAAACTATGGGAGAAATTTTCTAATTTACTATTGCTTGCTTTTCTTCTTTTCTAAATACTTTTTCTTTTCTCTTCTTTTCTAAATACTTTCTTTTCTCTTCTTTTCTACATACTCTCGCCCTGCTTTGGTGTGTGACTTCTAATTTTTTTATTCAAGAGAAAGAAATTAAATGACGAATTCCCCTTCCCCATCTCATTTTATCCTGCTGATCAGGAAAAGATGAGTGAAGAGCACAGGTAAAGAGGGCTGTAAAAGGTAATGTCTCCCCTCAGAAGAGGCAGAGCTGTTCCACATGACAGCTGCTGTGCTGGCAAACTGTCGCCTTTAAAGGTACAATTTTACCTCAAGTATGGGAACGAGCTCTACCGTAAGCACAAATACTCCGATATAAAAACACTTTTCCCGTTATGTTTTAGGCTTGGTTTGCAGGTAACGTTTCTGACGGCGTGGTTACGTGGGTTATGCGTATGGAGAGAAATCACCCTCAGAACTGACGTAGTTATGACAGCAAAACCAGCCACACAGATCACCAAACAGGAAAAGATCATCCTTTTTTTCTGGCCATTTTAGGAAGTAATGGATAAAAGTCGTGCCGTTGCTAAATCACCTCCTAAAGCACCGGCTAAGCCCCATCTACCAGCAAGCCCTTTCAGATATTTCTTTCCCTTCTATTTAAAAAAAGCCAGCACTGACAGGAATTCATCCGCAGTGGCTTATTTGTGCTGGGAAAGTGGGCATGCTACAGTGGAAGTGTGTGTGCATATATATGTAAATGCATGCACAAATGCACACCCAGCTATACACATACATATATACTTACATATATATATTTTCCATCTATGAATATTGTATACATATATGTATTTTTATGTTTGCATGTATGTATTTTGTATGTATATGCAAACATAGGGCAATAAATACATATATATAAATATATATGTACCAGTGCAGAGCCAGGAGGTGCCCAGCTTCCCCCAGCATGAGGTGAGGTCTGGAAGCACCCGGGAAGGAAAGCTGCAGCACCTCCCTCCCACCCGGCTGGTGGGATTTAGGCTGCCGGTGCCTGGCACAGCACACCCAACCCACCTGGTGTGAGTCACTATGTCTGTCAAAGCGCCGCCCTCCAGAAACTCCATCACAACCCACAGCTCATCGCCAACAAGGTAACTGTTGTACATGTCAACCACGTTTTCGTGATGGTAATCTCTCATGATTACAACCTGTGAGGAAGGAGAAGACGATAGGTGAATTGCTGCGAGCGTTATCTGACACGTGTTTTGACCTTCTTTTTCACTGTGCTTTTCTCTTTGCGCTTAGTAAAGGTTCTGCCATGAATCACATCCTCCTTAATCCTTATGCCAACGCATAAACAAAATCAACATATTTACATAAAAATAACAGTCATCGTAAATGCATTAGGAAGAAGGAAGAATCTTGAGTTGCTAAATTATAAGTGGGAGATAATTTTTTTTTTTTCAGATGGCAGGAACAGGACTGTTTATTTCATTGCTTTTTTACTGCCAGTTGCTGTCAGTACAACAGAGAGGGGTTTTTTTAACCGATCAACCCATCAATGTCGTCTTCATCATACAGCAAACTCCGCTTTGCATAGAATTTTAAAAGAAAGCAGGTAATATTGGGGAGATTCATAAGGTGACTCAAATCCCACATGTAAAAGGGACGGTACGGAGTTGGGACCGCCGTAACAGCAGCCCAGCCAAGGTGGCGACCATGGCCACATGGCACTGATGGACACCAGCAAGGCCATCAGGAGAGCAAATCACAGCAAGGGAAGGCTTCGCTATCTGAGTGCAGACAGAGGAACTTCAGCAGCACTGAAAAGAGAGTTTCGGAGGACACGCGTGACTGGAGCACGTCAGGGAAGCAGCTTGGTCCTGCACAGCACGTCGGACCCGCTTCAAGACGTTCCCATTCAGGAGATGCCCAGTCAGAACTACTGCAACGCAATGGGGTGCAGTCTCCCCGCAGGGGCAAAGCAAAGTCAAAACGGCCAGTACAGCCATGGACTGTGTGAAGGAGAACGTGTGCAGTCTGTTAAGAAATAATATATATTATTTTGAAGTTATCATACCGTTAAGTTTTTAAAGAAGCCAGCCAGTCAAGTGCTGAGGGAAGGGGCGGTTGGCTCTTTGTTAGGTAACCATCAAGAGAGCAAAGGGATTGCTAACGGTTAGGAGGGGAAGGAGGGAGGAAATAAAAAGCATCTATATGGCAGAATACGGTGCACATGCTTCTTAATTACTCAGGTTAGTTTGGAAGAATGAATGATACCACTAAAAGGTCAGAAAAAGGCAGCTGGGCTACATGTATGCACCGGATGTGCTGCATGGACCAGCTGACAGATTTCTTAGTTGTTTACTGTGACTTCCTGATGCATCATAGATTAAAATCCAAGAGGAGATGTAGCTCATTTGAAACTGGTCTGGTTACATGGTATTTATACAGCACAGATGTGCGAGCAACTCCTCACCTCTTTGAGAAAGACATTGATTTGGCTCTTGAGGGTGCCATTTGGCCCACGTCAACCCAAAACAACGCACCTCATTGAAGAGCAGCTCCCTTCTCTGCTGTTTCCTGAGATCCATCTTCTTCACGGCGACTTGCTTTCCTGTGTGCTTCTCAGTGGCAATGCAGACAATCCCCGTGGAGCCCTCCCCGATCTTGATGAAGTTGTCCAAGTATTCCCGAGGGTCGCCGGGGCTGACAACAAGCTGCAGGGCAGCTCTGAACTGTTCGTGGGACACCCGTGAGGGCTGCTGGTCTGAGGAGGAGCCCCAGCTGGGTGGAGGATAAGCACTTGACGTGATACTTGGGGAGCTGGGGTAAGAGGCGGTGGAGATATAGGGAGAGCTCGGCTGGAGAGACGGCTGGTGATAGTGGGATGCTTTGTGATAGACCAGAGGGTACTGGTAGCTGCTGCTTGAATAGCTGACTTTGCTCTGGCTTTGAGGTAGCTTTACTGGGCCCCTGGGGTAGGTGTCCGATCCAGAGAGCGGCGGGCTGACAACCAGCTGGGCTCGATCATAATCCACCTGCAACGCAAAAGCAGACTAGTGAATGCGGGTGAACAGACTGCTCCCTCGCTGCCCACCCACTCTGCTCATTTTCAGCATCCCGGCGGTCCTCAGCCAGTGCTGGCACCACATGCCACGGACCCATTCTTCTCAACGTGGCACTGCTGTCCTGCATCTGAAAAGAGATTCTGAGACCACTGGGCTGCTGTGCTCTCAGCAGCAATAACATCAGGTCAGGGAAGACTGCAAGGTCTTTCATGCATCTCAAGCCCAATTTTATGTCCAGGTACCTGTTTGTAGACACAATAATCTGTGTAATGAACGCGTATACTCCAAAAAGTGTATTTGCTCTGTATCTGCAGTGCTCTGCAGGCTCCCTGGGCCATTTCCTACAAGAACTCATCCCTTTCACAACCAGCAGCCCTTTGGCGAACTCCAATTTGTGCCTTTCCTTTCAAATACCCGCTCCTGGGTTTTGACTCTCAGCCCTTAAGTCTTTTCTTACACTTTTCTCCAGCAATTCAGGGATGACCCAACCTCTTGTTGCAGAGGCGGTGGTATCCTGAAAGCCCTGTGATCTCCTGCCTTGCCCCACCGTTTGAGCAGTATGACGAGGAGCCTAATGCAATTTACCATTTCTTAAAGGGTTTTCCAGAGTGACACACTACGAAACTGCAGTGTCACAAAACCGCTAATTTTCATCTGAAATCAGAGATGATCACAGAGGACATTATCCCTATGGGAAGCCTGGAAGAAAGGCAGATTCCTTTTTTTTTGTTTTCCAAGCTTTGCTAAGCTTCTTACGGAAAGAAAATGAATACTTCACGTTCGCAAACATAATAGTTTGCTTCTATCCAAACTTAAAAAAAAAACCAGGACGTGAGACCAAAAAAACCCACCCAAGACAAAAATACATTCTTTTTCACCCTGAAAAAGAGCATCTCCACATTCACGATACAACATATGTGATGTGACTCCTGACGACATACGGAGCATCTCGGGGCAGCGGGGTGGTTCGACACAGGCTCATGATGTAGCACAATTACAAATAATTATGGCAATGAGTTCATTTAATCAATCAATTTCAGCGGCGGTGCACAGGGGTGGACAGAGCAGCCAACTCTACACAGCCCACGGTTGCTACTATTACCGCTGGCTGCCGGCCAGGAGTCCCTGATCCATGTTAGTTAAATGCACATTAATCTGAATTTGGCAGTGTAATCAAGGACCCAACTGAACTGTGAAATTGAATTCTGCGGTGGAACATCATTTGACCGTTTTATGCTAAGACTGCAAAAAAAAAAAAATAAAGGAGGAAAAAAAAAATCTGCCGCAGCATCAATTTATCACTGTAGGCTGCTGCACGGCGAGGAGGAGTTTCTAGCCGGAGTCGCCTCGGTGCGGGGAGAAAAGCCTCCGAGTGCCGTATTGTGTTGGCACTTTCCTACCTCATGCGTGAGCCGGGCGTGCCGGCCTTTTCATTCCGCCTGAGGCTTAACAGGGAAGAGGGAATGCCCCTCCAGAGGGGCTGCTGAGAGATTTCCCTTGGAAAGGTGAAGCTGGAGTCTGTCTGAGGCTCGCAGGCTGACGGCTAGCAGCCATACGGAGCGTCCCGCCAGCGCGTAACGGCCACCTCCCGGGACGCTGGTTTTGTCTGAGCGCAGCATCCACACGATTACAGCCGTAATTTCACTTATTCCATCATCAGGCAGGGGTAGCCATAAAACAGAAGGGGGTCAGAGTCACCGTGAATTTTGTGAAGGACATTACATCTGCCAAACTAATTAACACAAAATGTGCTCAGATGGTTTGGTGGAGGGAGGGGAACTCAATCTAGCCCTGTCCTATATATCCATAGGAACACATAAATTACTGCTTTGGCTGTAAATACACCGTTTTCTTTGAAGTATGGAGATGGAGAAAGCCTTATCTAGAAATTCAAGCTGGAAAAATCCACACTAATGAATTATTTGAGGCTTCACCCATGCCTGCTATTTCTGAGCACGTCCTAAGCCTAACACATCGGCAAAAGTGAATTCCGCAGTGAAATTTTAAAATGACCATTCAGGGGGCTGGTGCGCTTGCGAAGAATTTTTGAAAGCTTTTTGAGGTTAGGATCACGGTCCAGCGTAAACTCATTCACATCCACGAAACCTTATGAAAAAGCAGGAGCTGCAAAGAGTAAATCAGCTGAACCTCTCCTCCGAGGATGCGCCCTGACGCGGTGCTTCACATCACGGCAAAACGGAACGCGCTTTATTCCAGTAATAATTCTATTTCTGCTACTGAATGCAGTTACCTGCTGAAAGGAAATTCTTTCAGTACTACAAAGGAAAGAAGCAGCCAGTCCTGCGCTCGCTGGGGCTCAGGACAGCCGAAGCTCTAACACGACATCCATCACGGCGCGGCGGTGCAGGCGGTGCTGCTGCTGCCCGAGTCGCTTCACCGGCTCGCAGCGTCACCCGCACGCGGCCGCGTCGGCAGACGGGTCTTTGCGCTGTTGGAAGGTGGATGTAACGCTCTGCCGAGCGGGGGTCCCCGTTCCACGCTGCGGCGGGGCTGCAG